AAGCTAAACATTTCCACTGTGCATTCCTCACTCCTGCGTCTGTCTCCCCCATCTGTTTTCCAACACTCACTTTCTTAAATCGCACTGATTGTGTATCTCTCAAGACACTAAAGGAGGAGTCCCTCAAAAGATCATTTCAGCTTCATTTCATGACCTGGCTGGGATTTCTGGTTAGTATGACTACTGTTTTATCTCCTGCAAGCATTTTTCACCAAAAACCAAAGCAATGAGTGAGAAAACTGTTCTCACCTGCCTTCTCAGTAACTTATTAATATTCAAAGACAAGTGAAGAAGCCAGAATGTGTGTACTTTTACCAAGCAGGTATAGCTTTCTCTACAGTAAGACAAACTGATTACATTGACAGTTTGGCAAGCTGGCTTAAAGCATGTGCTTTCAATTAATTTTAATTAGATTGGAGTAAAAGGAAATTTTAATTTTGATGTAATTAATGGAAACTTTGTTCTTTGTATTTTAACTATGTTCCCTGATTCAGGACAGATGCGATTTGTGGGAAAACATTATTGTATAGATATTTTTGAGCAAAGGTGCTCAGAACTGCCACAGGGGTTGATAAGCCATATAAAACATAGACAAACTGTGTTATGCAACAAGTATACATTTAATTAATTGGGGGGGGGCATAAATAAATTTTTGGTTTTTACCCTGATCTGAACTTTGTGATCATTCCTCCTGCTGAAGAGAAAAAAAATCTTGCTAACAACAAGTTTTTCTAAAGACAATTTTTTTTGGTAAGATTTTACAGTGTAAGTATAGCCATCAGTGTCTTCACATTATTCTTCACAAATTACTACTAACAATTCTCAAAGGAACAAGACAGCTGTGGATCCAAATGACCACAGTAGAGTTCCTAAAGCAACTCTAAACAATATTAAAAAGAAAAGAAGGAAGGGAAAAAAAAAAATCCATTGTCTACACTCCTGTTAGAGCTGCCCTAATGGCATCACAATGTGCATTTTAGAAAAAGCAGAAGCAGTTTTTAACAACTTCAAATAAGTGTGTGAAAATAGCCTTCATCTCTCCTTAAACTTCTAAATCTTTTTAATGCTTCTCAAAAAAAAAAAAAAAAGAAAAAAAAAGCAGTTCCAAATGGTTTAATGGTTTTAAACAGCTTTGACGAATGTGAAACTTATCTCTCTGCTTGTAATATTTCCAGAAATAGTGCTATTAAGTTGATTTGTGCATGGACACAGATCATTAGCAAATTGGAGCCTTTATGTTACAAAGGTTCTAGTCGGTGTTTAACTCTTAGGGTGAAAATCATGTTCTAAGCAACCGTTTAGAACATAAACCTTGAGTTCGATAAAATCGGGCATTGATCTCTCTTGCTTCTAATATTCAGTGTCATGGGCATTGCATGTCAGAAACTGTGTTGGTCATTGACACAAACTTGCCTTTTGCTTATGTCTGAAGGCAGTTACCATCCACGTGCTGAACAGTCTCCTGACACCTCCTGCGGCAGAGAGGATTTTTCCATCTATCACTGACAGTCTTTTCCGCTTATTGGAGGTGACTGTATTCCTTGAATTCACATGGGAGCCAACCACAGGATCATCCACAGATACCGTACACAAACCCACAGTTCTGGTCCCCAGACACAATTCAGAGCAGCCATCTACTCCCCTTCCTTCTTGTCTTTCTTTTAGTGAGATAGTTTTAACTCTGGGCACGCAGAAACCTACATTTTCCCTTCTGTGTCTCCTTCTGGATTCTCAGAAGACAGGCTATTTCAGTGCCCATCTGGGGACCAGAGAATAACACAGTCCACAGGTGCCATGTCATTCTTTTTTATTGCTGTTTAATTAGTCACTACCTTTTTTTTCCCCCCTGTTAAAGAAAAACAGTCATTTAGCTTCCATAATATTTCATCAGAGTTCCATACCAAAGCCCAATGTCACAGTTTCTTGAATATAAACTAAATGAGCTAGAGCCACACATCTAGTCTGCTACCCTTTTGTCTAGCAGATTCAGACAGATGGTATCAACCAGTTGGAACACTCTTAGTTATAAGCCATTAAGATGAGCAGTGGGTCAGAGCCTTAAAAAATAGGTAAGTACGTATTTGCTTATAAAATGAGTTTCTAACTACTGAACAGTATAATTTAGTAAAATGGAGGCAAACTGATTTCTGTTATGAAACTGTTGGAATACCAATTTCTGACTCTGGTGATCAGAACTATTCTCATTTTCAGTTAGCTTTATTGTAAGAGTGAGTGAATTAGCAGAGAATGCCTTCCTTTCACTTATGGTAGGATATTTCTTAGACATCTGGATAACTGAAGCTGAATTTTTGAAAGCATGCTCCAAAACTTCCACGGATTTCAAGAGGTTTTGATTGTGCCTTTAAATGCCTATCACCACTGCTGATTTTCTTGGGTTTGAGTGAAAAGGAGAAAGAAGAGACTCTTACAAGCAAAAAGAAATTTTGTTAAGCTATACTTTCCTCTAGATTTATATTGATTTAATTCAATCTCTTCAGAACAAAGACTATCTTTCCTTATCTGTCTGAAATGTATGTACAAAAAGTGAAGTCCTGTGTTTGTTGGGGTCTGCAGCTTCTGTTATAAGGCAAATAATGAATCCTACTTGGTTTACATTTCTAAAACATCTTGACTTGTTGTTGCCTTTTAAACTGCAGGACCCTTGCGGCAAGGGTTGACTTTATTTATGAAAGATAACATGATACATGCTGTTGGAGATTAATTATGAAAAAAACCCCAAAATGTAATGAACCCCTCCAATTCTAAGAAAAATTTTGCAACAGTTTTTAAATGCTGTATGGTATTAGCAGTATTAACAGCTTTATTATAACCTTGTATTAACAAGTCTTAGTGCAATATATTAGTAGCAGCTGGCTCTGCATTAATTATCTACTAGTTTAAATGTGACAGCAATATGTATTTATAGTGGTCAGAAAACTTGTCATTATCTTAGCTAACTTTATCTCAGTCAAATAACTTACAGTATTCTAATTTGTAATATAAAGTGGCACTGGTCATCAGTATAACTACTTAGTAATGCACATTATTTTACCCAGTAGAGTCCAGAATGTCTTTAGGAATGACCACTGTACAAATACACGTCATTCAGTATAACATTCAACAACTACTTCATCACCTTTAGAAATCTGCGAAAGTGTGTCTTGCTCGCGGTTGGATCAACGTGATTCAAAACCCTTTACCTCGTTGAACTAAACTAAATATTTTGTTTCAGCTTTGTTCAACATTTTTCTCTGTTGCCTGCACTGTAGCTGTGCCTTACACCCTGGTGACCAATATCCATATAGAAACATCTCATCAGTGGATTACACTTCATCAGATGCAACTGGAGGTCTTATCTGGTGATTCATATGACGGGTGATGTGTACCTTGTGGCACACTCAGCAAATCTGTCCGTAGCAAACAATTAATAATGCAAGGCATCTAAACTCTAGCTTTTGTGAGGTATCAAGATCATGTCAGGGAGACATACATTGGTATTGAACTTAGCTAAAATGAAATGCTTTGGTTTCATTCAAAAAATGTTATTCAATATTGCCGTTTTGTTATATTCAGCATTTCCTTTAGATCAGAAATACTAAAGTGGCATGTTTCGACACTTCTGAACTTTGTGATTTTCAGAAGTTTCAGTAGTCAATGTTTGACTTTCTGTTCCAAATTGGGATAAAAGCAAATATGAAGACAGTGAAATTTTCAGTGGGACTGAAAACACATGTTTTTTGAGCCCTAGCTGTATCCTCATTCCACATAAAAGAATTTCAGATATTTGCCAGGGATACTGAATTTTTATTAGTTTCACTTTATTTCCTGACAATATTAAACAGTGAGGATGAAACATTTGTACAACTGTAATAGGTGACTTTGTTTATTAGCTGGCCTTCTCAGAAATAAAAATTTAAGCATGTGAAAACTAAAATTTACATGCTTAATTTGAGTTTTTCTGCAGATATATAAACTTGAGCCTTTCTTTTTGTAATGATTCCACTTCATTTTCCTCAGGGGATTCAGTGTTTCTGTCTGTGGCATCCCTGTCCCTGCACGTTCCTCAAGCAGAAGAAAAGGGAGTGGGTGATGACACTTCTCCTGGGAATATCTGTACCATGTGGGGGTATACCAGCTGCAGGCCTCTTTCTTGACAACATCCTTGAGAAAGGTTCAGCCACAGGGATTCCTGCAGAGACTCAGACCAGTTGAAAGTCACTTTCTGATTAGTCTGTCATGCTAAGGTGAAATGTATGATCTGGTCTTCAGTGTCTTCTACCATTACAGAAACATGAATACTGGGAAAGAGTAGAGGTAAAATGTCTGTACTCCGTCTTAAGGGAACAGCAAAGGAAACTAACCCATTTCAGTGTGTCTTCCTGATGTGTCCCATCCATGTTTACAAAGAGACATATTTGCAAACAGTCAAGATGTTGCTCTAGATGAGAAAGAACTTTTTCTCACGCCTACCTAAAAGGTTGGAAAGTTTCTCTTCCTCCTGTAGAAAGAAGGGTGAGTGCAATACATTTGATTCCAGTGAGCTGTTACCTGTAGTATCTGCCATATCCTGACACCACGACACTGATGAAACTCTATCACATCTCCAACAACCCCCACCCCATTCCTAAGATTTCAAGATACACTGTGTTATTCTTCATCTCACACACAGTACAAAGTCTCATAATGCCAAGGGATGTACAACAATGTGCAGCAACTCACAGTGTGCTGGGGAAACCTGTGTGATTTGCTATGCAGACATCTCATTTACCCCTGGGGCTTTGCTACTTGGGAACATTTCAGACTCCACTGCAGCAGGCAGAAAGAATTCTCTTCTCCAGTGGAGAGGCTTTCTTGCCTTGTACATCTGTGGTGAAGCTGAGGATGCTGGGGGAAAGCCCTGCAATGCAGACAACATATACATGTATGGGTGAGAACACATTGTAGTCATTTTAATCACCCAGTGCCTTTTGTATTGTTTTCCTTTATTTATTTATTTATTTTTAAATAAACAGGTATATTCAGGACCAATGCTTACAGATAAAAGTGGGAGTATGACCAACACAGGGTACAGTCAGCTGTGTTCCCAGCTGTCTTGATCTGTGTTCAGTGAAAAGTGCTGGTGGCCTGGAAACCCTAATGAACCTTCTTGGTGGTGCTATATGGAGCTGCTGTGGTACACCTAGCGCACACCTCACATTTCCCACAAAGCAGGTGCTAAATTTTTACTAATGCCACGTTCTCCCTGCAGAATTTCAACATGCAAGTGTTGCAGTTGCAGAAATTCTCCTGCTATGACCCCTCTGGTAAGACCTGAGCAGCTTGCTTTGCCCTTTAACTACCTGGGAAGTTCACTAAACAAGTCAGTGGCATGCAGCTGCTGCAGGCTCCCTGGTTTTGTTTTATTTTACATTATATACTGATTTTAAGTATCAAAGGGCTCTCCCCAGATGTAGAGCATGGGTATAGCCAAACCTCAGTTTTGTTTGGAAAGTAGTTTTTAATATCCATCTGGAGTGTGGGTGAAGGTGAAAGTTGTCAGGCTGTGAAAAATGGAATTGGTGTTGGCTGACCTGAAATAGGCTGTAAAGTTCTATTCCTCACAAAGGCAAGATATATTATTGCTGTAACGCCATTATTCCGCTCCATCACTTTTAAACCTTGTTCCCATTATCTGCAAGTTAAATATAACCCTATGTAAAAACAGGAAGGACAGTGCTAAGTTGTCCAGCTTAACAGCACACACTTAAAACATAATAGAGCACTTGTTACTGTATTTTATGGAACGGAAACTCCAAATGTAAAGATGTATTAAGGAAATATCTCAAAGTTATTAGGGAAGGATATTTACAATTACAGATTGCTTTATATTATGCTTTTATGAACATCTCAGGAAATGAAATAGCCCTCAGCTGTAGAGAGTGAAGAGGGAGGTAATTTTCCTTAATATGGGTGATAAAATTAATCTGATTGAAATCGCTAGCGATTATTTCGCAGAATACTGAGTGGCAGTACAATCACTTACACTCTTTTATATTTTTTTAGTCAAAGCTCGTGTAGATGAAAGCTAATTACAAAGTAGTGATGTGAAGCGCTAAGGAAATAGTTTGTATAGCATAGAACAGGCACAGCTAATTGGGGTTTGTGATTACACAGATTGTTGTTAGGGAGAATTAACTACCAGCAGTCTCTCCTGCAAAGCTTCTCATCAAGGGAAAGTAAAAATAGACGCTGGATCTGTTATTTATCTAATTATGCTATGAATATTTTCACAAGCATGTTACACACTCTCAAATGGTTTGTTGTTCAAAAACTTTCAGTCTCATGTTGCTTCTGATCAAAGTATCAATATGAAGTTTCTGACATTTGGTTTTTTTCACTTTATATTGCACACTGAGTCCTCCCATAAAATTATGCCTGAATGGAACTGAATGGTATGAATTTAGGCATTTATACCTAATGCTGTGGCAACTGGAATGAGTCAAAATTATTATTAGAAAGGTGACTGGACAGAGAAGATTGTTTGAGTGACCAAAGTGAAAAAAGCCAAGGTAGGCTTGAGATGGCACTGGGAAATATTTTCTTAGCTATTGTAATTTGAATTATTGTACAAACCTATCAACAACTACAACATTGCAAATATGCAAAAAAGGCAGGCCTTTGCTTTATGCTGCTCTATACAGAATGGGAAGGGGTGAAGGGAGGAGATATTCCAGGAGGAGACCCTTATCTTTTAAACTAATCTGCGTGGGAGACTCCTTATGCTATATGGAGCCTCACTGAAATCACTATGATTCTGTGTGGTGCAGTGTGTAATCAGGCTGATAATAGATGCTCATTGAATTTGTTACATGTTTTGCTTTGCTTTGTTATTGTCTTTCACTTAGTGACCTGGAGGAGCTTGCTGAGATTGAAAACTGTCATGTGATGAAGTTTCAGAGAAATCCTTAAGAGCCAATACAGAAAGCCACTTAGAATTCTGATTTTTTGTGGATTACTGAATTAATGGCTCTTACTTAACAACAGATTCAGCAAACTTTGGTCATGAAGAGAATATCTGTGTGCATTTTGGAGGAAGGCTCCTGAGGATCTTAGTGGTTTGTTGTAAAGCTATGTATTAGTAGTCCCAGCATAAATATATATCAGTCTCCACAGTTCTTGGGAATGGGGAAAGCAATAAAATGCTTAGGCAGTAGCACTGAAGGAATTAGCAAGCATTAATATCACCTCTGAAAGGAGTACCACACCTTCCTGTGAACATCACTTCCCAGGATTACTGCCTCTTGAAGGAAGACTCAGATACTCCTATCTCCATGCATATAACATCTTCCTGTAATATCCCTCAAAGAACTGCTTGAATGACACCCAGCTGCATTCTGCACAGGAGCTGATGCTCAGTATTTGTAAGACATCTTAGAAGACTGCATCAGAGAAGTATTTTCCATCTGCACAATCTTAATTTTCTGCATTCTGTAGAATATACAGTCTTTCAGACTCAGTTTAGAAGCCTGAAGTTGAATGGGTAATTCACAGCAGTTTAATAATTCATACACTAAATAAAAGAAAAACGTGTTAGAAGCAGCTTTCTGACTTTGGGCAGTCAATTTAAGACACTTGGGTTTGGATTTGCTTTGTGAAAATTCTAAATTCCCACAATCTCCTCTCCAAGTTAAAACTGAAATGCCCTGAGTCAGAGGACCATTTTAACGTAAGTTCATATGGTTTTATTTTGCTCTCCTTTTTTCTCTAATTTTTTTTTCTGAAAAATCATCAGGCAACAGCTTACTAAACTGTGAGTTGTCCTATAATCCAGGAGTTTCCAAACTTATTTGAACTAACAGCTCTGAAGACTTCCATCAGTGTCCAAAAATTAATCCTGCCATGGAAATGACCCTGTACCCAGAGATACTTCTGGCTGTCTGGATGTCGTGGTGGGAGCTTATATCTTACTGTAGGCTCCAGGGATAGACTATAATCCAGGTTCCTGGGTGTTTAGGACCAGGTGACTTGAGGCTGTCCAAGCACGAGCCCTCACTGACAAGTGTAACCCTCCCCACAGCCCTACTGACTGTACTTCTGTGGAGCATAGTGGGAAAATCTCAGGGCAGGTGATTTATACTACCTTCGTGCAAATAAACCAAAAAAATTTGAAATGCAGCTTACTAACCATCAATATAAAAGACAGTATTTCATTTTCACAGAAAACAATAGATGTACCAAAATCATTATGAACAGAAAGTTATAGGCATTTATACCTATGTAACAACCTGAAGGCTGTTATACCTTTAAGTAAAAAAGTTGGCAAGCAACTGTATCTACAGAACCAGACTAAAATTCTTCCAGAGAAGCATTTTGCCCTGGATAGTCAATTTAAGACAAGCTGCGTCTGATTTTCCAACATACTGAATTCCTGCAGCTTTCACTGACTTCACACTGAGATGCCCAAAATCAAAGCAATAAATACAGCAATAAATACCTGTAGTAATGCTGGTTCCCAAGCCCTCACATTCCTCTACCCCTTTTCAGGAGCAGAACTGCTGTCCCAGTGGAGAACCCTAAGGAGGAAGACTGGATACCCATATTTTGTAGCTGGCACCCTCCCCTTAAGTCTGGGGTATGGCTTCCTGTTGTGTTCCCTGCCTGGGTCCTGGGTGGAGGGAAGAAGTGTAAGATGTGTGTCACAGCCTAAGTGGACCACATCTGCATATAGTGCTGTTGGGGACTTCAGCATACAGCTCCCATGCTTAAACCCCCCCAATTTGCATAGACACTGGAAAAACACAGCTTGCCTCTCCTGCTTCAGTAGACCTGTAGTTCTGCCTCAATCCTCTGAAATGTCATACCCCTCTGATGGGGTTATGTAGTGAGTTTTAATTAAAGACACCTTCTCATGGAAAATGACTGCAAACACAAACATCAGACAGGTGAAGCGGAGCCTCAAGTGAGTCACCCAGTGCTAGGGGGGAAACCCAGCAGAGCCTTACCTCTGGTCACTTTTTTCTGTTCCTGTGGTGCAGCCAACACTCTGCTGAGCTACAGGTATTATTGCCCAGACATGCTACATGCCTGCAGTGTAAGGAGATGTCAATTTACATTCTTCTACAGTGGGGATAGGAGCAGGAAGAGGAGAAGTTATATGGACAAGGAAATCTTATCCACAAGTTGGTTTAATTTACATTTGGAAAAGTATCAAGAACAGAGTTATAGCAGACAAAACTGCTCATAGTAGGCATAATATAAGAGGCTCTCATTTTTCATGTCAGTACACAGAGGATATGCTGGATCAGATAAGCTGACCACCTTCTTAAGTAAAGTGTTTATTAAATTGGCTATCTTCAGATGAGCATGCTGGAAACTCTGCAGTAGGTTGTTACAGGGACTACTTGTCCACAGAGGAAATTTCCTCCTAATCCACAAAGTCTTTTATGCCCTGAAACATATGAATATACATCCTTTCCCTAAAGTTTTGGAATCTTTTTTTGTGTGTTTGTGTTTCTGCTCTTTACTACAATAATGGTGGATACTTTGGTTATTGCCCAGGGAAGTTCAGGATGTGCAGTTATAACAATATCGTGTCACACACTTGTACATAAATATACATTTTGTACATTTTATCCAGAAAATGTACTCAGGTATAATGAAAAATTATATATTTTTTCATACTGTTATTAATGATCTGACACTAGCAACACACTGTATTCAATGCATATTAGCAGTTTTGCTGCCATTATGTATAAGCAGGAGACAAAAGTTATATTATTTATGTGTATGCAAATGATGGAGGATCTGAACCTGTGCTAAGTTATTTTCCTGTGCTACTCTACTTTGTCCACTCAAGTGACAACCACTGAAAATTAAATGGTTTTCAATAAAAATTCTGTAATCTGAAATGAATGTCTACAGAATAATTAGAATATCTTGCACATAAAAAGTAATCATGTGTCCTCCACTCATGAAGAATCCTTCATAGCTGATTGACATTCGTGGATCTTTAATGCTCATGAGATGTAACACTCAGGTGAGAGGTGTCACCATGTCACACTGCTTAGGGACATATCCTTCCTCAAGCACAAAGTTTGTTTTGCTTCTCTGTGCAAACTGTGCTGTGCCATTTTTTGTACTCCTGTAGTTCATGGCACCAACACCATTATGACTTCTGCTTTGCTGTCCTGGCAGTCCAATCTCCCTAGCAGTACCTTGTCTGGGACAAAGTGGGCCTTCCTTTATTTGGCCACCTATATTAAAAGTTCTGTCATCACTAAGGGTCTTGGTGTTCATTTGGTGGAGACAGATTCTGTTCCAGCCAACTCAAGTCTTAAGCATTTCAAGACTTACTTAAAGGTACAATTTACAAGATGGCTTTTGAGAAAGCATAAGTCTTGGACCTGGCAGAAAACTGAGAATTCCTACTCCAAAAGCCACATGTTCATGAAAACACTACACTGAGCCTGTATCAGGGTATCCCCGTAACACTTATACCTTGGGTTCCCATCCCAGTCATGGGCACTTTCAGCTCAGAGTAAGAGCCAGAAAAATCTAAATCTTCCCTCAGTCTGCATTGCAGAAATCCCCCAAATGAAACAAACAAAAGACCAAAAAAACCAAAGACAACTTTGACTTTACATTCTTAAAGAAACTCTTTGCTATCAACCAATGGGCCAGAACTCAATAAATCTAATGAACTGCAATACTGATATTAATTGCCATTATTTCTGTGTGTTACATAGGAGAGTGTATGCGATATAGTAAAGACATTCCCAGAGGCTTACAATCCACAAAGAACACATGTGAAGGATAAAGGAAAGAAAAAAAATTATTATCTTGTCTCATTGCTTTTAAGATCACAAACTGAGGCAGAGGACTGAAATACTTGTATTTGAGCCATTGACTTGGGAAGTCAGTTTCCACACCCC